TGATGGCGTTTGCCACTGGACACGCTGTCTGTACCGGATGGCACCTGTACGGGATGTCTGAGCAGGATGGCAATGCCACCTCTTGAGGGGGAATCAATTCACTTCCAGCTAATGAGCCAGAGGTGGAGGTCTGTGCCTAAGTGTAATGGAGCCTGATGGAGGCTAATTAAATAGAAAACCATCCATTTGTGCTGTCTCATTAGGGATTTGTCATAAAAACCTTATGTTCTCTTACAAGCCTAAACAAGTGTGTTCCCCATGTAAAAATCAGCCATAAAGCTGTCTGGAGGGCAGTTAACATGTCTAGGCTGTCATTTATAAGGGCTGTCTGCAGCCTGGATCCTGCAGGTGGGAATGGCCTTTCCAGTGTCCTCAAACCACCCTGCATAAGTGGGGCATCCCTCCTTCCAAATGGGAAAGAGGGACAAGCCCAGTGATCCTGCACTGACAGTCGTGTGGAGCGGATGTTCCTCCATCTGGCCCTGACGGGAGCTGGGAATCAGAGGCAAAGAGCACTTGTTATTCTAGAGCTGTGCCAAAGATGTTCAGAGGTCAAGAAAGTATAAATCTAATAGCAGTGTTTCCTGGGGGCTGTGGAGACTGGCTTCCCTCACTCACCTTTGTAAGTGGCCTGGTCTCCTCCTCAACCCCAACTAGGCTACTATTTTTGAAGAGAACTGATTATCCTATAGGACATGGGAATCATGATGTTATTTTTAAAGTGGAAGGAAGTTCAGGGCTGTGTCCCCTTGGCTGCCCCGAGGGAAAAATCAGCTCGGTGTAAATGGCAGCTCTCCTCAACGTGTGTCCAGGATGAGCTTTTCACTCACCCAAACTGTGTAGGATTCAGAGTTTCTGCCGAAACTGGGGCTTCTGCAGCAGTCACATGAGGGCAGGGCTCCTGTGCAGGAGGAGATAACTGCTTTGGGTCTGTGGGACGACCCTTGGGGTAACGCCAGCCGGTGTCTCCTTGCAGGCGTCGGAGGTGGAGCGGCAGCTCTCCCTGCAGGTCCACACCCTCCGGGAGGACTTTCGGGAGAAGAACTCCTCCAGCAGCCAACACATCGTGCGGCTGGAGAGCCTCCAGGCCGAGGTGAGTCACCTGCGCTCCCCCCATCCTCCAAAAGGCAGCCGGGGCTGTTTTAACTTGCATAATGACCCTCCCTGAACTGAGTAAACAGAACCTGCTGTTGGAGCAAACAGAGGGATGGCAGCAGTGGGGCAGAGGACTCCCCCAGAGGGAATTTTTGCTGGAGCCCAGGGCTCGCTGGGCTGGCTCAGGCCAGTTTCCAGTGCTGCCTTGGCCACAGCATGCCTGGAAAATGAATGGATGAGAAGATCTTCTGGGAGCTAAACCACGGCTGTGCTGCCCAGTTCGCATTAAACTCTGGGGCACGGTGGGAAGGACTGCAAGGGGTTTTTTTTTATCCTGTTCCTCATGCTTGCAAAGAAAGCAGCAACCCTCTCCTGCCTCTCAGCCGTGCACTTGGGAAAGCAAGGAGCCCCTGCCTGTTTTAACTTTGGTACTTTGGCAGGAATGATCCAACCTCCCTTCCTCTTCCCTTCCCTGATGAGGTGTCACTGGGAATCATGTAGGCAGGAACTACACAGGTAGATGTCCAACTCTACTGCCCAACTGGTTCTTTTATTTAAAAGCCATCTGGAAAAGCTTTCCCTAAAATCTCTCAATTTCTTCTTTTCTCCCACTCCCACCTGCCCCTTGCTGGTCCCTCGCCTTTTCTTCCCCTCCCCTTGGTGTGGAGCAGCAGGTCCTTGAAGTAAGTATGGAGGCTTGGAAGGGTTTGCCTGCGTGTCCATCGCTGTTACCATGCATGCCTGTCACTGTGCATGCCCACGTTGCCTCCTCACCTCCTTCCTGTTTTGCTTTCCAAATCCCTTTCTCCCTGTGTCCTTCCCATGGCCCAGGGCTCATGGCAGAGTGGTTCCTTTTCCTGTTATACAGTTATTCACACTGTGTTCTTTACTGCTTTGGCTGCCAAATACAAACTCTTGCTACAGTCTCTGTATTAAACCTCTTATTTTTCTCTCTCCAACCCCCTCAAATCATGATAGTGGTGGGCAGAGACATCTCAGAAGCCATTAGTCACCTGAGAGTAGTTTCCAATACCTCCAGCAGCCTTTACCCTACAGAAATACCAAGTCCACACACTTGGCCAATATTCCTTTGTGCAGCCAAATCTTTCCAACAACCTGGAAAGCAGCAAAGAGACAAGGTCCTAAAAAGGCCAAGAAAACAATGGGAAGTTGCTGAATTTGTCTACGGTCCATGGATTGAAAGGAGTCCATAGGGAATATTTAGACTAGTAGATGGCTGGCATACCAGTCCCCAGAGATCCTATGTGCACTAATCTGGGAAAAGGCTCCTTCTTCTTGGTTAAACAAGAAGTGACCTTGGCTAGTGCTGATTCATCCTGTGCACTGTTCCCAGCTAACTGAGTCACGGAGGGTTTGTTTGGCACACTGTCCCTCCGTCTGAAATCACTGCCCTTGACAATTAAAAGAAATGAACCAATTTTAAAGGCAACTGATCACTGGGAGGCTAAAAATAAGTGTGGCACAGAAAGGAGTTTTCACAAGGAAAAAGACAGAAAAATCCCTGATGAGGACCTGATGAACATGCAGCAATTAAGAACAGCCATGAGCAGTGCTGTGGCACAGCCCTGTGGGGAGCAGGATCCCACAGGCTCACCCTGGATCCTGCTGGCTCACCCTGTGGTCTCCAGCACTCATACAGGAGAAAATCCCACCATGCTCAGTCAGGGACAAGCCAGGAAAAGTAACTAGACTGGCCCAGTCTAGCAAATATTAAGGTAAAAGGGGTGGGCAGGGATGGTCTCTGCTTAATCCGCTTGGACATTTCTGCCTGCTCCCTGACATGCCAATGCCCACTCAGCCCCTTGGGAGCTGCCTTTGCAGCCTGAAGAAGGAGGAGTTTCCTTCCAGAGCCTTCCTAAGCTTTAAACCACACACACAGTTTCTCTCATACAGGTACAGGATATTTAAATACATACTTCTGCTTTTTTCTTTTTTTTTTTTTTTTTGCTGTTCCATTTCTCTCTCCGGAATGTGATTTTCCCTCCTCTCTGCTCCCTGCAAGGCGTGGGGTTCTGACACTGCCTCTCTTTCCTCTGCAGATCAAAATGCTGACGGACAGGAAGCGGGAGCTGGAGCATCGCCTCAGTGCCATGATGGAGGAGAACGACCTGCTCCAGGGAACCGTGGAGGAGCTGCAGGACCGAGTGCTCATCCTGGAGAGACAAAGCCATGACAAAGACCTGCAGGTGAGGAGGCAGCAGTGAGGCAGGGAAGGGGTGGGGAAATGCAGTATAAGGTGTGTTTGGGGGTAAAATTGGCCAGGAAGATAAGCGAGAACCAGGAGTCAAAACAACTCCTGAATCCATAGAATAAAATGGCTCATGGCAGCAAGTAAGGTCCCAGGTGTTCCCCCATAGGAACAGGAGCCCCAGTGAGAGCAAAGAGCAGCTTAGGAAGGAGATCTGAGCGAGGGAGCAGGACAGGGTGCTGGGGAAATGAGGTAAATGTCAAAAGAAGCAGAGCATTTTGGTTGCAGTCCAGTTTAGTTAATTTTTTAATAGCAGAATTGGCTTCAGAAAGGGCGTCTTTGGACCCTGCTGTCCCAGAGGGCAGTCACTGGCCTCGGGGCTCTCATTGCTCAGACGGTTTCCCGTGGTGTTCATAGCCATTGTGTCACCAAACATCACCCCCCAGAGAACCACCTGGCACCTCTGGGGCTTACAGCATCTTGGGAGAGAGTAAGATTTTTCCATTTTGCTTCCATGGGGTTGACAACCCCTGGATCCCCAGGTCTGCAAATCAGCACCGAATAACTTTTCCTTTTTTTTAACAGGTATTTGTATTTGTGCATATATTTTTTAAAAACCTGTCTATATCACTTTCTTTTTGGATTCACTTCCTGCTGTGTTGTTTTCAGCAAATTGTTTTACCTGAGTCCTAACTTCTTCACAATGTTTCTCATTTTAGTGCTGATTAACCTGCTATTTTTATCTTTCAGGATATTCTGGAGTCTAAACAATGTCTAATGACATTTGGAGATTATTAAGCTCCAATAAATAGCAATACCAGCCAAGAGTACTTTTCTCCTGGCTGGAAACACTGCTTTGTGTCACTCATTTCTCCCTCTCAGCTCCTTCAGAAACCAAGAGATTCATCCAGTCCATATCACCTCCACTAATACTTTTTTTCCAATACCTTGATTTTCTTCACAAGCTGCACCAAAGCCAGATGGAGCTCCAGGAGGTGCGTCTGTCCTACCGGCAGCTGCAGGGGAAGGTAGAGGAGCTCAGTGAGGAGAGAAGCCTCCAAAACCTCAACACAACCAGCACGTCCCTCCTATCTGAGATAGAGCAGAGCATGGAGGCAGAGGAGCTGGAACAAGAACGAGAACAGGTATTTGCCCTCCGGCCCCTGGGAAAGCCCACAGGCCTCTGGGACCAGCCCCTGAGGGAAAGGGAGTTTAATGCATTTGATCTGGGTTTGGAGCTGAACCAAGGGCCAGAAAATTGGGAATGACACCCTTTTGACCACATGAAGCCAAACCTCTGCATCCATTTCAAAACCAACAGAGCGAGCTTGACAGATATTTGTGAGGGTCAGCAACCATGTGCTTCACTTCCCACGGAAGGAGGATTTCCATGGCCTCGATGTCCCAGGCTCTTGTCTCTTGTTTCAGCTGAGGCTGCAGCTCTGGGAGGCCTATTGCCAAGTGCGGTACCTCTGCTCCCACCTCCGAGGAAACGACAGCGCCGACTCCGCCGTCTCCACAGACTCCTCCATGGACGAGTCTTCAGAAACCTCATCAGCCAAAGACGTCCCAGCCGGGAGCCTTCGGGCAGCTCTCAGTGAGCTCAAAAGACTGATACAAAATGTGCTGGACGGGGCAGACTCCACGGTAAGTCGGTGGCACGGAGACACCTTGGCTTGTGCATGTTCTGGGCCCAGGTGACAGAGCTTGCTGCGGGTTCTGCTGGATCTTGAAGTCCCCAGTCTCCAAGAAAACCTCTGTGGCCCACGGGGATGGGCTGTCACAGTGCACAGCCTGCTCCATGTGTCTCAAATGGTCAGACAAGAACCAAGCACATGGGCTTTCGGCCTTGCAGTGGTCAGACCACCTAAAGTTTCAAGCTCATGCAATAAGTTTCAAGCTTCACGCAATCGTCGTTGGCCTGGGAGTCGTTCTGGAAAATTAATAAACATAGGCTTACTTTGAGATTTTCAGTAAGTTAGAGTTTCAGCATGGAAGTACTGCAGATTGCCTTATACATCAAAGTTCAGTTATTTCCCTTAGGGTTTTCCTAACCCTACTTTATTAGCAGTAGCATCACAAAAGCATCATAACCCCTACGTGGGTAGGTTCTGTCCCTGAGAATTGTCACTGGGTACAAATGTCTCGGCAAGAGCTGCCAGACAGGTGAATGGTTTTGCTGGCACAAGATGATGTCTGTGGGATATTGTCCCCAGACTGCTGAGCAGGGGGGAAGGACCACTCAGCATCCACAGGAGTGCAGAATTACAAAGAAACACCTCCCTTTTGACAATGGCTCAAATCAGGCCTGTTCCCATCCCCCCCCACAAGCTGGTTGCATTGCCAGGATTACATTTAAGATGTTAACATTTGAGATGCCATGGCGATGAACACAGTGCAGACCCTGCATCTACAGCCCTGCATGGCAGTACTCACCCTGCTTGTGTAAGGACCCATAACAGCTGCAAAAAGGCTGAGTATAGAGATGAAGTTGTATTTGTTAAATAAAATGTGGACAGTCCTGCAAAAGGTCCACAAACACAGAGACTGTAGCCATACGTTGCCAAACAGCTCTCTGTACACTTGGTTTGTGTTAAGCTCTGCATGCTCTTTGCATCATGTGTAGAAGCACTGCCACTGGCTGAGCATGTTTCCACTGTGGAGGTGTATGGGAAAAAACCTGAAACTCTACCGAGGTCACATTCACATTTTCTTCTTCCTTGTTTAGTACCTCCATCCCAAACCGGTATCACATTAATGCAATTGCCTTTTCTAAAGTGAAATCTGAGCAAGAGATTTCTCTCCCGCTCTCAGAGCTCTCGGCGGAGCGACGACGACACGTTAGAGGAACAGATCAGGAGAACAAGCGAGGATTCACGAGCCCTGAGGGAATTAATGGAGGGAGAACGGGGGAAACTGAGGCAGAGTTTGGAGGAGCTGCAGCGACTGCACAGCCAGGTTAGCAATTCCCACGCTTTAAATGTGGTCTTGTAACACCAGTGTTCATCCTCCAAGACATGCCTGCCATCGAAGAGATCAACATGATAAATGACCCAGGAGGATTTAGGCCAAAATCACTTATGGCTGGATGAGGGAGACACTGTTAAACCCAGTGCAGAGGATTTATGCATTTAGAATGAGAGCTTTTGACAGGTTGTCTGGGGTCCATCCCAGGCATTGTCTCAAACAGCCAAACTTCCTTTAGACCTTTCTCCTAATCTGCTTTTCAGCCAATCTGTGTTGCTTAAGTTCATCTCAGCAGAAGACCCCAAAGCACAAGTCTGCTTGAAATGGGGTACTGGAAACCCAAAGGTTTCCAGTCTGACCCAATTTGCTTGCCCTAAGCCCTTGTGAAAGGCATCTACACCCACTGGATGGATATGACAGTGCTGTTCTGCTGTGCACAGAGCAGGGTTTGACCCCTTCCACAGCAGCATCACAAAACCCTCAGAAGTGCACACTCAGAGAATCCTTATCATGGCCAGCCTGGCACCCCAGGGCCAACAGGGCAAAGGCAATCTCAACAGCAACAAATGATCCAGCCCTGAAACCAACTGCACACCAAGGCACAGAATCCCACTGCATCTGCACTGAACGTAGCACTGCCCACGTCTGAGGTCCTGTGCCAAGAGCAGCAAAAGGAGAGAGACACCCAAGGAGATGCTCTGCAATCCCTGTCTCTGTGGGACAAGACTCCAAATGCTGGGGGGATCCAGAGGCTGCAGCAGAAGCATCCTCTGGTGAAGGTGCTTGTGCAGCCCCAACTGCACTGGAGCAGGGAATGGGATTAGCGCTGGTCTTGGCAGTGGTGCTGGATTGCCCTTTTGATGTACCCCTTTGGAGAATAAATAGGAAAACATCCCTGTTCAGAAAGTCAGCGCGGCCTGGGGTCTGACAGCTTTGTGCAGGGCTGTGGGGGCTCCTACCATGGGACCAAAGAGAAAAGAGTGAGAGCATCATTAAATACCCCAGCAGTGACAGCTGCACGTGTGTGGGGGTGGGAAATGGTCCTGCTGACAGAGCAGCTGGTCAGAGGCAGAGTGGAGAAGGGGAGCAGCCCTGGAGCCCATCCTTCTCTGAGGACTGCTCCTCTCAGCCATGTGGCCACCACAAGAGACCATGCTGGGGGTCCAAACTTCTGCCCCACTGAGACTCGAGCCCAAACACTTCTCTGGCTGTGCTGCCATGGTCCTGTGCATCACCCCCAGGTCCCCCTTGCCCTTAGACACACCTGAGATGGAGGAGACACGGGCTTGATCACTGCAACCTGGCTGTGCTGACCCAGACCTTTGGAGGCTCTTTCACACCTTTTGAGCAACCACCTTCACACCACCCTGCGTGTCTGGATGCAGCAGCTCACACATGAGGCCTTGACAGGACACCAGGAGGAAGCAGCACTTGCTTGTTCTCTCCTGTGACTGATCTTCCCAAACTCCCCAGCCAAGAAGGACCAGAAGACCTGGCCTGGATCGGAAGTCTGGAACCCTGTCACTGCTTTTAGGTGTCCCTGACTACCAAAGCTCTGAAGATTTAGTGAACAAAGGGAAAACTGCAGTTCTGTTTTTTTCCCACGCCTCTATGTGCTATGAAGAAAGATGGGGCACAGCTACAAATGCAGCAGACATTGCTCTTGGAGGAGCCCTTCAGCCTCGCACAGCAAGTACACATCTCCCACAGCTTTTGCCTGTAACCCATCCTTGCACTTGCTCCAGCTTAATAATTATTCTCACCTCCCACTGAAGAGGCAACATCATCTTCTGTTCAGGTGCTAAAGAAAATCGATGCACATGGAAAGCTGGTCCAACCCGGGGGAGCAGTGCTCTGCTGCCTCCTCATCCCTCTGTGCTGTCACTGCTATTGATACAATCAAAGGGAAACTCCTTCTAAATGGCTTCTGGGACCTCATAGCACCACACACACATTCACTACTCCTGCCTGAGAGCAAGGTGAGCTGGTGGAGATGGGAGTCACCCCTGCCTCTCTCTACACTGCAGAGTGGTTTCACATCTTCTCCCTGTCCGTCCTCTCCCTCAGTGCATCCCATTCTTACCTGAAGCACAGATAAAACTAGTTAAAATCCCAAACCGTTCCCCAAACACTGTGATTTGGGCCTCTTGATCCTCTGTCCCTTGGGATTTCTGCAGAAGTGCTCAGCACCTTTCACCACTGCTCTCTGTCCCATCACAACCCTGAGTGCACCCCACAGGAGGGCTCTGGGAGGGCACGGCTCAGGAACAGCTCCCCAGTTCCCTGGCAGCCCTGGGACACAAAGGGGAGTCTCTGCACACAGACAGGGTGTGTTCACACCCTCCTCCCCCCGGCCCAGCCACGCCACGCTAACGGCAGATCCTCCCACGCCCTGGATGTGAGGAGCCCTTTTTGATTGTCTGCCCTCTATTTAAAGATTTCTTTGAAGATTCAAGCACTACTGAGCTGCATTTAGAGACGGGAGGTGGGTCAAACGCTGGAAGGGTTTTCAGGTGGTGGAGTAGCGTAACAGAGCATGTGTGTGCCCTAGACAAAGAAATTAAACGTGTATGAAATATTGCAAAGCTCTGCTAATGCGATCCTTGCATGATTTCACACCCTATTAACTCACTCTGCACAGGACCAAAACGATAGATCATTTCTCAGACTATTTAAGACTCCACACATATTTTAAAGTCTAATTAAAATTGTAAGATGTGCCAGTAACACCTTCCATGGCGTGAAAGGGAATTTTCACATCCTTTGTCTACAGCTTCATTCTACAGGAGATGTAATGGCCCCTTCAAAAAATCTTATTTGCTGCTAAATTATGTTAGCAATAATTTAACCCTGGAATTACAACAGGCAGGCTCAGAGGATGCATTCACAAGACAAACTGCTTGGAGAGGGGCAATATTTTAGTGCCGATGCCACAATGACAGCAAAGCCACAGATGGGTCCTGCTCTGCTTTCGGTGCTGTTACTGCCTGTTTTCTGCCTGTTACTGAGGCTGTCCTAGTGACCATCTTGCTCAGATCAGCACTGCCAGCATCCCAGGGAAAGCCAGCACACTCATGGGGTGTTGCACCAACACTAACAGCCCCCTCCCAGCAGACACAGCTTCTCCTACAAGCAGGGGAGCTCAGCCTCCAGCTTGGCCCTTGTGGGGTTTTTTCCACACACACACAACACTCGTGGTGAATTTGCCTGAGCAGCCCTGGGTTTCACACCCTCCCTCTGCCCGCAGGTCACGCTGCTGAGCGTGGAGATGACGACGCTGAAGGAGGAACGGGACCGGCTGCGAGGAGCTGCCGAAGACAAGGAGACGAGTGAGCGGCTCCTGCAGGCCATCAGGGACCGGGACGAGGCCATTGCCAAGTAAGTGGCACGAACAGCCAAGGCCAGGCTGGGTCAGCAGTTATGGAGGGCCTTGGCAGGAGGTGCCTCTGGGGTGGATTTCTCCTACCCTCTGCTAATCTGAGTAGCTGTTACAGTGTGATGGAGCGAGGCTCAGCTTCACTGGAGTTGGGAAATGCTGCCAGGAGCTTGGGAATGGGGCTGGAGATGAGAATTTCCAGAGCTGCCCCATGGCAGGATTGGGGGCATTAAGGAGGATGAACCATGTTTTTGCCATCCCCAGTGCTGGGATGAGTCACTGCGAGGAGGGAACCAAATGGTCTGCCCTATTTGTCATATTTGAATTCTTTTGCTCTTCCAGACACACCCTGCTTTCCTGCCCATCCCCATTACAGCCCTTCTTGGGCTTCTTCCCTCAACCATTTCATTTCTCTGGTTGCTCACTCTCCTTTCCTATTCTAGGGTCTTTTTTTTTGTCTCCAGTCCTGTAATTCTCTGTTTCTCCTTTAGGGATTCTCCCACTGGTTTGGCTCTTTATTTTCCTCATCCTCCTTGCAGACCTGTGCAGTTCTGCTCCCCTGTACCCTATGCCCCCCTTCCCCAGCTCTGTCCTTGGGGCTGCCAAAATACCCTGAGTGCTCTTTGCCCCGAGGAGAGGGGCAGAAACATTCCCACCCCTGTGCTCCAGCTAGAAAGGATATATATGTGGTAATCTCCTTAATAAGCAGATGGACCAGGACACCACGAGTCCATCTTCTTAGGCAAACATCTAATACTCAAGCCCTGAGCAAGAGGAGAAGCACAGGAGCATTGCAGCTCCGAAGGTGCAGGAGCTGAATCAGCCTGCACCACCCCTTCACCTTTTCTGAAGCGACCTGCCCATCCGTGCTGCTCTGGCCCAGGTAGCTGGCTACCCGATTCCCATCGCCGTCTTCTGTAACACCTCCATCTGTTGGCAAGGCTCAGGAGCATCCCAGCTGTCTGCCAGGCGCAGGGAGAGGTGGTTCTGACATTTCCAGTGCGTGTGGGTTGCTGGTTGTGCCGTGGCTATGGCAACACGCTGCCATCGATCCCCTGGTGAGATCCAGCCAGCAAGGGGAGCTCCGCAGCAAAAGGCTGGCTGAGGTGCCCAAATCACAGCCGGGAGGGGAAGGGCACAGTTTCTCCAGTCCGCTAATGACCCTGCTGGGACAAAGCACCGATAATTACGGCTGACTCTCCTGCAGCACATAACCCCGGGAACGGGACGAGAGGAGTGAGCCGGGAGGGGGGGAGTGGCGGGTGATTAATGAGCAGAAAGTGGCAGCAAGTGAAAGCAGACAAGAGCAACTTGTTGCTGGATATGAAAACATCCCTCCCAGACCGAGTGGGCCGTTCCCAGGCACTGAACCTCCTGGGAGGCTCGTGATATGCTTCCCACCTCACACCTCAAGGGTTAAGTCGCTTTTGTTGAACCCATCCCCCGAAAAATCCCTGACTCTGAACAGAAATAAAATCACTGCCCGAGGCAGACATCTGGTGTGGAAAATTTCTGCTTGAAGCTGAAGTTTGGCAACATGGGAAGCAATAGGAAAACAGGATCTTATAATAGGAAGTGTTAAGCAACCAGTACCTGGAATATAAACACAAATTCTCAAATTGCTCTTCTGCAGGGGAGCACAAGGGAGCTATTAGGAGGGGAGGAATTAGCTACAGTTAATAAGAGGCAATTATTTCTCTCAAAAATGTTTGCAAGGAAAGATGGTTCCCAGCAAGTCATGTTACAGCTTCCCATCACACAGCAGTTAATTGAAAACTGAAGCTTTGTGCTCACCTGTTGTGCTCCCAGCATGGTGAGCAGCATTTCCCAGCTTGGGCAGCTTATTCCATCCTGAAGGATAATTCCTTTCCGCTAGTCAGTAGCAGCTGGAACATCTCAGCCACTCAGGGCCCTTTGGGCAACCTTGTCCGTGGTGTCACAGGCCCAGTGGCCATCAAATGCCTGGAAAGAAATGCAGCAGTGGTGTTCCCAAGGGCTGGCACAAACCCACTGAAAGTGGGATCTCTCCATAAAGCATGACATTTAATTCAAATAATTTAACAGTTTGTCATTCTTTAAAAGCATATGCTGTGATAAGCTCTCTTCTTTCATTTCTTCCTTCCTCCAGTCCAAGTCCCAAGTAAAAGCGGAGTTGTGCTCTTTAAAGATTTTGTCTGTTTGTTTGATATTGCAATTTACTGATCAAGTGACCAGACACAGATCATTTGATTTTTAGCACATACTATTTTTTCTATGCATTAGTAAACAGAAAAAAAGGAAAAAATATTTATATAAAGATTCTACCTTGTTTCAGATCTCTACCTTTAATGGCAGATCATTCACATTATCCAGCACAGTATTATCTTACACAGCAGTGCATCTGATTTTCTTTTTGTATTCTTCATAGTGTGCTTACCAGAAATCTGCTGGTTTCATAGTAATGATGTCACCACTCTTCAAATTGATTGTCCAGAATCAAATGGAGGTGAACAGTTTAGGATGTGAGGACTTACCAGTGAAAGAAACTCTCCTCGAGGATATGTTTAACTCTTGCTTTGAAAAAAAGAAAAAAGAGAAGTCACATGCCCCAATTTCTGTCCTCCCCACAGGAAGAATGCAGTGGAGGTGGAGCTGAGCAAGTGCAAGATCGACATGATGTCCCTCAACAGCCAGTTACTGGATGCCATCCAGCAGAAGGTGAACCTCTCGCAGCAGCTGGAGGCCTGGCAGGTGAGCAGCCCTGGCCCCACGGGGGAGGGTCTGGGTGGCACATGGTCCCAGAGGCACCTTTGGGTGACTGTCCCCTCTCCCTGTGGGTTTGCTGCGTTCTCAGCCCGTAGATTGGGGGGTTTGGTTTGGGCTCTGCGGGAGCCGGTGGTGCAGTGGGACTCGGGGGGGGTGAGCTGCCTGCCCTGCTCCAAGGGCAGCTGAGAGCAGTTCATGGCACAGGAACACCCATTTCACCTGGAGAAACACACTGTGTCTCATGGCTGCGAGCAGAATGGGTAAGGTGCACGTTGCAGAGTAACCTGCTATTCCCCTGGAGGGGAGGGCTCCGTGCAGGAGGTGTCCCCAGGCAGGTACAGCCTTGGGGACGTGTGGGCACAGCATGTCCCTGCATTGCCTTAAAGGGCCAGAAAGGTGGGAGAGTGAGAGACAGAGGGGTTGTGATGGTTGTTGCTGCACTGTTTTCATCAACTCAGAAGATCCACCAAGAAGGAGAAGCTAAAATCCCAGCTCTCCACCAAGGTAAAAAAAACAAACCCATGGCAGTCCCACAGCTGCCCTGGAGATGCTCTGCTTGGGGTCAGTGGGGAAAACCCTCATCAAGCCCTTGAGAGCAGGCAAAAGCTGTCTCCTCCCAGAACCAGCACCGAGGGAGGGATACTTTAACACCAAATAAAACAGAATCAAGAGGTCTGTGCCATTCAGAGTGATTTGTTGCAGACCACGCAAGGCCCCAACTCTACTAAAAACCAGCCTGACCAGTAGAAACCTTTCCCGTACAACCTCACTCCTGTCTCAACTCCACTGTGTTTTCGTTTCTCTCTCTCTTTTTTTTTTTTTTTTCTTCTTTTCTTTTCTTTCTCCTGCTTACAGTTTGCTTCCTCAGGGCTTTTTACTATCTGGCTCCTTTGGTTTCTGATCTAGTGGCCTTTCTCAGTTCCTGTACCAACAGCTTTAGTCGTACACCCCTCCTGCCTTTGAGGTGAGCTCCCCACACCCTCGCCAACACCCGCCATCCCCGTGCCTGCTCCATCTGCTGCCACCATCACCCACATCCTTCTCTGCCCTCACCATCATCTGGCAAGAGGGGCCAGTGGGGGGGTTGCATTACCCACAATATTCTGCACACACACCCCCCACCCCAGCACCAGGACAGGGCACGAGGGGTAGAGTCCCCTTATCCCCATGGTGAGGCTTTACCAGGTCACCATGGGGGAAGCCAGGCTGAGGTGCACATATTATTAACCTTCTGTATCCACATATCTAGGATCTGGAAAACTTCCTGAAATAGGGACTGGCATAGGAGCTGTCTGGATCCAAGTTCTGCTTCAGTTTGGATGGGTGGTATCTGAGACCTATTTAGTACACTCGGTATTTAGTGCCAGAGTAAACCCAGCTTAGGGTTTAACAACAGCAGCAATACAACAACCCCAGAGCTGCTCCCACCAGCTCTGAGATGAGGCTCAGGCCCACTAGCACAGCAGTGAGTTGTCTCCAACTTACTGACCTAAAGCATTATTACACAGCAGTAATATAGTTTCCAACCACCTTATGTCCCCAGAACAGGAGCTCAGCCACAGAGGCACAAAACAAGTCAGGTGATTTATGTATTTTGGGGACTGTTTTGCAAAGGTGAATGTTCCTGATAAAACAGAATAAGAGTCTCTGCTTTAGCTGGACATAAGTAAAAGCTTTAATCTGATAGCGTTTTGTTCTTGCACCCTTCTAGTCTGCATTTTACCAAGGACTCTCAACAAGATTACTGTGTTCTGTAAGCACATAATCATACAGGCTATAAAAAAGGGCACAAGCAAAAAACCTCCACAGCCAAGTGCTGTTCTCTCTGATTCACACATCTGACAGACAGGGGCCCAAATGCAGTGCACTCTCAGTAGTGCATACTGTATTTATATATATATATATATATATATATAATATTTTTGTGTATATATATATCAAAAATATATAAATCATACTCACCCCTTGTTGTGTGGTCGATCAAGGACACAGATCTGCCATGCAGGAGCCTGGGTACCTACTTCATTTACTGGAAGAGGTGCCTTCAAAATCCCAGTGCCATACATTTTCTCGTGGCAGCTTCAGCTCTGGAAACCTGTTCCATCTTAATACTGATGTTTACCTTAACCTCTTCAACTCTCCCTCTGCCTTTCCTCTCTCCAGCCCTGCTCTTAAAAGACCCAAAGCTTCCCCGGTCTGTGTAGCTCTGTACCCTCCTGCTCTCCCAGGGAAAGTCCCCGTAATAAATTCAGGTCCAGGTCATGGCTATTGATCCTTTTCCCTGCAGAAAATGCTGCAACAAGAGATTAAACATCGCTCAAGTTTCCACTCCCACTTGGCTGATTTGATTCCACATACAGAGCACCTGGGTCACCTGCTGGGCAATGGCAGCACTTCCCTTCTGTCCTGGTGCTTCCCTGACAGGCTGCCCTGCATGAGGTGCCAAATGAACAGCAATTCCACCACTACAGCCCATCCAGAGAATCCTTGTTCTCACCAGATAGTGCCCTCAGTCCTAATCAGGGACCAAGCTGCTGGAGAACATTTGATTCCTCCTGCAGAGCTCATTTGTGGACACACATTTTCACTAAGCTGCAGTTTGAACATGCAGAAGTAATGGATTTGAAGGTTTGGAGTCTTTAGAATTGGTAGCCAGGTTTTCAAGGAGCACAGTAGCACACCATTACTGGCAACAGAACTGGCTGATTATTTTGTGTAGAGCAATTCCACAGTGCTGCAAACATGGACAAAACCAGAGAATTTCTGGTGCATCTCCAAAGCCCCAGTTCATGCCCAGCTGTCAGTCAGATTGCTTCTACTGCTCTGCTCTGGGGGAAGGAGCAGGTTTAAGGGATGAGCTCAGTTCTCTTTGATAAGTCTGGTGCAAAGCTCACATGGGGTCTGGTGGGCCCACACCTTCCCCAGCCCCTCAGCACCTTCCCCGAAGAAGCCCCACTAACGTGGCAGTGCCCATGGTGCACACACAGGTCTGCTCAGCACAGACGTCCTTCCTTCTTCTGGCATCTGCTTTCAGCTGCATTTGTTCTTTTTATTTATATCTTCCCCCCCAAGGGGACATCTACGAGCTGCAGACAGCGGAGGAACATAGTTCAGGGGTGTCACAGAGTCCCAAGCAGGCGCAGTGCTCCTGGGCGGGAGCACCTGAGCAATTCATCCCTCAGAACTGTGGGATTTGTCTTCCTCACTCACTGAAAAGCCTCAGGGCAGCAAGCACAGCTGAGCCTGCTGTCGAGTGGGGGCTTAGCCCTGTCCCCACTCCTGTCATCCCTGCTCCATCCCATCATTGCACGTTTCATCCCATTTCAGCTGCGTCCCGGCGCGAGCTCCCGCGGAGCATCAGCTGCCACTAACACCCCTCTCCTCTCCCTCTGCTGCAGGATGACATGCACAGGGTCATTGACCAGCAGCTGATGGACAAACACCCGAAGGAATGGAGCCAGCTTGCTTATTCCTTCTCCAGTGGCTCCGGCGCCAAGCGGAGTGCCAGACCCTCCCCCGCGTTCAGGCCGGAGCAGCAGGGGGACGAGCCCGTCGGGGCGGAAGGAAACCGTCTCTTTTCCTTTTTCAAGAAAAATTGATTTGAAAAAGAGAAAACTCTCCAACAGTTCCTGCTTCAAGATGGGGAGTGGGGCAGCTGCCCAGCTTGCTGATGGACCCAAGTCTGATCCACTGAGTAAAAAAAGAAGGGGGCAAAGGAGTTAACCCTTGAGACTCTGCACTATTTACACCGCACCTGGTCTGAACCAAATGTTTACATGAATTGGAGATTTGCAAATTGACAATGCGATACTAATAGAAAGAAACTTTTCTTATTCTGTAAGTGAAGTGACAAACTTCAGGGTATATTTTAGATGCTTCGGCACAGTCCAGTTTCTGCTGTGAAGAATACTCTGATTGTCTTAAAAGCATTCTCATGCTGGAGAAGGAAATAAGCAGCCCCAAGACAGAGCAGTGCAGGGGACTGAGAACTGCTGTCACAGTGAGCACAGGGAGAAGAAGAGGCTGAATGTAAGAGAGGAGAGGGGAGTCATGTATATCACCCTCCAGTCCTGGCAGCTGTGACATCCTTCATCCATTCCACCGAGACTGGAGTCACTCTGGCCCCAGCATTGCCATGTTTTGACAGATGTAGCTTTCTCCGTGGTGGAAGTTGAGCCCTCACTACAGATCCTGCCTGGGCACCTGCAGCTCTGCGTGGCTGTTCACCCCCGCTGGGAATCCAGGCTCCTCACAGCTCAGGGCAGGGGGCAGATTGCTGGTGTCACTGTCTACTCCAGCTCCCTCCTGTTACAGAGGTAAGAGTTGCAGTCTGTAGCTACACGGAATGTTAAGGATTTCTCCCCAAGAGACTGACCATCTACAACAGATTACAGACTGGATTAAAGTTGTGGATGTTCGGTCCTGGGGCAGCTGCTGTCCCTCTGATGGCCAAAGGTAGTTGAGGAGCTTAAGCGAGTCACGCACCTCTCCCCAAAGCCATGCACACCTCCCAAACAGAGAAGAAACCTGTCATTTTAACTGGATAGGCCCCCAAAAGCCCAACTAATAATTCACTGAAAGCCTACCCATAATGATGTCAGTCGGTCTTTGACACTGGGTTGGCACTCAATCCTCAGAGAGCACACTGGCATCTGCCTTCACTGAGGCCAAAGGACATCAGGGTGTCTACAAAACTCTGGAAAGCCTGCAGGTTACTCTGCCCTGTGCAGTAACATTGGCTGGGGCCTGGCAGAA